GAAGTTTCAAAGGGTCCCTCGGAGAGATCAGATCGCCGCTTGTGACTCTCGGCAGGCGCCGCTTCCCGACGTCTTCCAAATTGGTGGCTAATAAGCAGCCCTCTTTGATGGCTGGAGATTCACCTGCCGGCCTGCAGAAAGGCCCATTTTTCTGCGCTGCGTCCTCCTGCAGCGCGCGGCTTTCCCGGCCTCCCAGTAACCGGGTTGATTTGCTTCTGCAGCATCTTTTTAAATAAGATTAAGCCGGGCGGCGTTAATTCCTGCCCAGGCTGCTTTGGCTGCGCTCCTCCCGGTTCCAGCCCTGCTGCGTTGAGCTGATGAGCCTGGAGTTTACCGGAGCTTGCAGCTCATTTAAATATCTTTTTTTTAAAAAAAAGAGATTGTGCTGGAAGGAGCTGCACCAAAGGACCATTTTGGAGGCAGGGCGCACCGGAGGGAGTCTGGCAAAGGAGCCCCCCCCCCAAGCTCTTCTCTGTTTTTGGCACCGTTGGTAGAGACCCTCTCCGCCCAGAGGGGATGCACAGCGTGGAGGATACGCACCTCACGGACGGAAGCAGGCGGTTCAAAAAATATTCAGGAGGCAGGCCGGGACGCGGAAGGCTAAGCAAAGCTAGCGGTCCACATGGGGTCCAGCAGGGAGGGGCCAGGGGGTCCTCCGTGGGGGCAGCTGGGTGGGGGCCACGAGCGAGGGGTTGCCCAGAAAGCCCAAGAGAAATGGCTAGAGTTGGTGCTCTTGAAAACTTCACTTGTGACCCACACCTGTCCCACCAGAAGACCCTCCCTTGACACAGCCCACACCTGTCCCACCAGAAGACCCTCATTGACACAGCCCACACCTGTCCCACCAGAAGACCCTCATTGACACAGCCCACACCTGTCCCACCACAAGACCCTCCCTTGACACAGTCCACACCTGTCCCTTCCCAAGACCCTCACCTGACGTGACCCTCTCATGCTGGCTGTGGAATTCTGGGAGTTGAAGTCCACAAGTCATAAAAGAGCCAAGGTTGCCCACTCCTGACCTGGAAGGACCCTCACCAAGGGGACATCAGTGTGGTCCAGCTTCCTCGGAGGTGTAAGGGGCATCCCAGGCGTGGCCAGGGTCCCCCCCCCCGCTCGCCTGGGCCTAGCGATGCCCAGGATGCTTCGGTGGTCAGCTCAGCGCCAGGAGGCCCATTGCTCTCAATGGGAGAGTGGAGGGAGGGCAGGGCGTGTAGAGACCCCCCTGCAGGTCAGGAGAGGGAGAGAGAGAGAGAGAGAGAGAGAGAGAGAGAGAGAGAGAGAGAGAGAGAGAGAGAGAGAGAGAGAGAGAGAGAGAGAGAGAGAGAGAGGCATTGATGATGAAGCCGCTCGGGATGGGGGACTCATTTTGTTCCTGGGGGGGGTATCAAGGTGGGTGGCAGGCCCCCCCGTGCTTTGCGTGAGCCAAAGCTTCCTTGTGTTCTTTTTTTAAAATTCCTTTTTCAAAAAACAATGAGGAGAAGAAAAGAGAGACAGTTATAAGGCATATATACTTTTCGAGGCGATGAAGGTGGATCCCTCTGCTGTAACAGTTTTAAACGTGCATTATTGTTTTATTCTGTGGTGTTTAGTTTTGGTACTTGTGGGTGGGAGGGAGGGAGGGAGGGAAGGAAAGAGTACAAGAGATGGGCAGAAGGAAGAAGAGGGAGGGAGGGAGGAAGAAAGGGAGGAGTAGAACAGATGGATAGGAGGAAGGGAATTGAAGAAGGGAAGGGAAGGAAGGAAACAGATGGGTGGGTGGATGGAAGGAAGGAAGGTTAGAGAGGGAGGAAGGGAACAGATGGACAGAAGGAAGGAAAAAAGGGAAGGAATAGAATAGATGGATAGAAGGAAGGAAAAAAGGGAAGGAATAGAATAGATGGATAGAAGGAAGGAAAAAAGGGAAGGAATAGAATAGATGGATAGAAGGAAGGAAGGAAAAAGGGAAGGAATAGAATAGATGGATAGAAGGAAGGAAAAAGGGAAGGAATAGAATAGATGGATAGAAGGAAGGAAAAAGGGAAGGAATAGAATAGATGGATAGAAGGAAGGAAGGAAAAAGGGAAGGAAGGAATGAAGGAAGGGATATTAACACCTCCGGGTTTCTTCCTCTTTACCTGGGGGGTTCCCTGGTGTTCAGCTGCAGATGGGGGGGGGGCAGCCTCAGTGCTTCCAGGCCGATTCATCGGCCCCAAGGAGACTCTTCTCCTCCTGGCCTGGGAGGGGGGGGCTCCTGGCTGAGGTCCAGGCTGGCTGCAGCTGCCCATAAAGGCATTGAGCGGGGGGGGGGGCTTTAATTTAGCCACAGTTCTGGGCTCCCCTGGGCTCCATTGCTTTGGGTCTAACCCCTCTCTGTGTCCCCCCCCTCCCCACAAGCCCTTCATTGCAGCTGTTGTCTCCCTGCCTTTTTGATTCCGAAGGAAGGAAGGAAGGAAGGAAGGAAGGAAGGAAGGAAGGAAGGAAGGAAGGAAGGAAGGAAGGAAGGAAGGGAAGCCGAAGCAGCCCCTGCAGGTGTGCCTGGCCCAGAGAAGCCGTCAAACGCAAACCTTTACAGCCATTTTGCAACTTCTCTAAGTGGCCATTTGAAGCCTGCAAAAGGCTTTCTCTCTGCTTGGGGGGGGCATTATTTTTGTTGGGATTTCCCCCCCCCAAATCAGGGGGAACGCTTTTCTTACATCCCACCCACTTTTTGCTAGCCAACCCCCCCCCTTCCCTCCACGGAGGAGAGCCTGGATGATTCTCCCGGGAGGTGAGAGCCCAGCGCCCCCCCCCCGGAAGGAAAAGTGGTGGAAGCAAGGGAACTTAGGGGGCGCTGGGAGTAGGGGAAGCCCCCTTCCCCCCTGGGGTGACCCCCTGGTTCTCCTGGCCTTGTCTCCCCCACGGAGGGCAGGCCTGGTTTTTCCAGGGTGGCGAAGCGCTTGAGGCTCTCCTCCGCTTGAAGGTTTTGGGCACTGCAGATTAGATGGTGGAGCTTTTCTGGCAGGCCGGGGGCAGTCTGGGAAAAAGGAGGGAGATGGGAAAGAAAGAGTAGGAAAAGGAGAAAGGGAGGGAGGGAGGAAGGAAAGAGGAATGGAAAGGGGAGGGAGGGAGAGAGGAAGGAAGGAAGGAAGGAAGGAAGGAAGGAAGGAAGGAAGGAAGGAAGGAAGGAAGAGGAATGGAAAGGGGAGGGAGAGAGGAACAAAGGAAGGAAAGAAGGAAAGAAAGAAAGAAAGAAAGAAAGGATTGGAAAGGGGAGGGAGAGAGGAACAAAGGAAGGAAAGAAGGAAAGAAAAAAAGAAAGAAAGGAAGGAATGGAAAGGGGAAGGAGAGAGGAAGGAAGGTAGGAAAGAAAAGAAAGTGGGAAAAAAGAAGAGAAAGGAAAAGGAAAAAGGAAGGAAGGGGAAAAAAGAGTAGGAAAGAAGGAAAAGAGGAAGGGAAAGGAAGGGAGGAAGGGGAGAAGAAAAAGAAAGGAAAGAGGGAAAAGAGGAAGGGAAAGGAAAGGAGGGAGGGAAGAAGGAAGAAAGGGAGGAAAAGAAAGTAAAAGGAAGGAAGGAAAAGAGAAAGGGAAGGGAAAGGAACGAAGGAGGAAGAAAGGCAGAAAAAAAAGAAAAGAAAAAGAAATGAAAGGAGGGAGGGAGGGAGGAAGGAAGGAAGAAAAAGAAGGAACGAAAGAAGAGAAAGAGAAGGGGGAAGAAAGACAAGGAAGGGAGGGAGGGAAAGAGGAAAGGAAAAGAGAAAGGGAGGGGAGGGGGATTCCCGTGGGGGGACCCATTGCCAGCAGCTCTTTTCCCACCTGGGAGGGGGCAGAGTCCGGCCTCCACAGGGCACAGATGGGCAGGGAGCCCCTGGACCTCCCCCCCACTGCCCCCCCCCACCAGGCAATTGAGCCGAATCCTGCCCGCCTCCCTCCTCCCTCTTGCTTCAAAGGTTGTGTTGGAGTCTACCACGGGGTCCCAGCCCCAGTGCTGCTTTTACTTTGGGACACCCCCCCCCGAGAGGCGAGGACTGGGAGCGTGGGGAGGGGCTCACCTTCCTCTGCTGACTGCTTGAACATAATCATAAAGTTGGAAGGGACCTTGGAGGTCATCTAGTCCAACCCCCTGCTCAGGCAGGAGATCCTATACCATTTCAGACAAAGGGCTGTCCAGTCTCTTCTTAGAAACTTCCAGTGTTGGAGCATTCACAGCTTCTGGAGGCAGGTGGTTCCACTGGTGAATTGTTCTCACTCTCAGGAAGTTTCTCCTTAGTTCCAGGTTGCTTCTCTCCTTGATTGGTTTCCCTCCGTTGCTTCTTGTCCTGCCTTCAGGCGCTTTGGAGAATAGCTTGACTCCCTCTTCTTTGGGGCAGCCCCTGAGATACTGGAAGACTGCTTATCATGTCCCCCCTCGTCCTTCTCTTCGTTAAACTAGACATGCCCAATTCCAGCAGCCGTTCTTTATATGCTTTAGCCTCCAGTCCCCTAATCATCTTTGTTGCTCTTCTCTGTACTCTTTCCAGAGTCTTAACATCTTTTTTACATCACGGTGACCAAAACTGGATGCAGTATTCCAAGTGTGGCCTTACCAAGGCCTTGTAAAGTGGTATTAATACTTCACGTGGTCTTTATTCTGTCCCTCTGAATGCAGCCCAGCACTGTGTTGGCCTTTTTGGCAGCTGCAGCACACGGCTGGCTCCTATTTAAGTGATTGTCCACTAAGACTCCGAGGTACCTCTCACAGTTGCTACTATTTTCCTTCTCAAAGCCCAACAGAGGCACCAAGCGGACCCGGGACGACGAGGAAGAGGAGCTGAAGGGGCGGCCCAAGCCAGCCGGGTCCCGGGAGCGTGGCCGTTTCCGGGAGGAAGACCCCCCGGCTGCCGAGGAGTCCGAAGAGGAGAAGAAGAAGCTGCACCACGTCTTTGAAAAAGGCGAGGAGGAGGAGGAGGAGGTGGGTGAGGGTCTCGTCCTGCCGACCCCCCCCCCATTCTCGGCTCTTCCCTCCCTCCCCTCCCGTGACCTGCTCCCTCCCGGGGCCAGGCAGACCCTCCCCTCTCCAAGGCGGCGCCCTGGGGGTCCCTACTGACTGCCCTAACTTCTCTTCTGTTGGGCAGGAGAGGGCGAAAGTCCATATTACAGGGGTCCCCAGCCTCAGCCCCTTGACGACTTGGGGACTTCGACTCCTAGAATTCCTGCGGCCGAGGTTGGGGACCCCCCCCTGTCAAATAACATGGGCTCCTAAGGCTCCCCTCGCTTGTTAATTCTCTCGTTCCGGTCACTTCCTGTATTCTTCCTGCAAAGAGGCCCCCTCTATTTTCACAGGGAGTCCCCAACTTGCAACAGTTCATTTTCTGACCGAAACTACAACAGCACTGAAAAAAGTGATTTATGGCCATTTTTCACACTTAACGACCGTTGAAGCATCCCCAGGGTCACATGATCAGAATTTGGACGCTTGGCAACTGACTCGTATTTACGACGGTTGCAGTGTCCCCAGGGGGGGGTCACGTGATCCCCTTTTGGGACCGTCCAACAAGCAAAGCCCACGGGGGAGCCAGGTTCACTTAACAACCAGGTCTCTGACTTAACAACCGCAGTGGTTCACTTAACAACCAGGTCCTAAAATGGGGCAAAACCCAGCTAACAACTACCTTGATTAGCAATAGAAATTCTGGTCGTGAGTCAGGGGCTACCTGTATTTGGTTTCTCAGGCAAGCCCACTCCCCACCAATAAAGGAGAATATTGGTAGTTCAGAGATGAAATGGGGGGGGGTCCTTGGTGCTCTCCCACCAATTGTTATGTGACACAGCAGGAGGAGGGGGGAAATGGGGTGGAGAAACGGGAGACCCTCCCAGCCGTCCCTCGCCAGAACTCCGGTGTTGGGGGAGGGGCCTGATCCGAGATGGCGGCCAGCCCCGCCTTTCGCAGGAAGACGGTTCCGATGCCTTGAAGGGAGACTGTTCAGATGTGGGTTTGTGGGGTGCCAGTGGAGGCTGTGACTGCGTCCTTAAACGAGGCTGTGTTTGGCCAGGAGGAACCTCTGGATGAAAGCTCCGTGAAGAAGATGATCCTCACCTTTGAGAAAAGATCTTACAAGAACCAGGAACTCCGGATCAAATTCCCAGACAATCCAGAGAAGTAAGTCTGGGTTGGGGGGGGTTGGCCTGTTTCTCCAGGCTCCGCTCTCCGGAAGGCCAGGTGGAAGTTCTCAAGGACAAGGACAATGTTGACTCTAGAAGCGTAGGTGTTCTGTCCCAGCCTACGTGTGTCCTTGTTTTTGTTTTGTTTTTTATAAATTTTTATTGATTTTTCAATTAGAAACAATAACATAAATATGATGCAGTTAATCACAATATGAACCAAAAAAAATAACACTACTCAATAGATTCATGGAAGTGTCCGGTGCCCCCCCCCTGCACCCCCCTCTTTCACTTTCCATACCTTCCTCCTCCCTAACCTCAACCTCTCCTCCTTCCTCCCTCTCTCCTACTTCCCTTCCTTTCTCAACCATCCCGTCTGGTGCAGTTGGGGTATCCACCGGGCACCTCCTTAAAAAAGAATCACATATATAAATCTACAATACATCAGTTTATATACATCTATCTATTCCCTTTCCCCCCTCCCCCCCCAGGACTTCCCAGAGCTGAACCAGGTAGTAAACACACAATAATCCCATTCTATCCAAAGCTACTCATTGTTANAAAATTCATACAAATTTTATAAATATAACAATTATTTGTTTTTATATATGTTGAGCTCACAAGGAGAAACCCCTCTTCCAACAAGCAGGCTGGAACCGCAGGAAAAAAAACAATCCTCTTTTATTATTCACAGACCTGAGTCAGTGTCCAAGGCAAACAAACACAGTCCACACAAACTCGATCCCTTAACACAACGATTACCTTCGGCAACCAGCACCTCCCACACCTTCCCTTTTATCATTCAGCCACGGCGTGGCTTCCTAATGCCTTCTCCTTTGCCTTTGGAGCTGCCCCATTGCATTCCTCTGTGCTACTCTCTTGCCTGTGCATTCATGCATCCGGGATTTGTCCCAGCTGTTCTTCATCACTGTCCAACTCAGACTCCCAGCACAGCTGTGTCTCAGCCTGAGTGCGAGTAGAGGGGCCAGGCTCCTCGTCCGACTGTAAGTCTTGGAGCACCTCAGGGCCTTCCTTTGACTCTGGTGTCACTCCAGGCCCCTCCTCCTCCTCCTCCTCCTCTGATTCCTCAGACTCAGCTGCCGGGTCCACTGGCTGGTGAGGAATCACAACAGTAGGAGATGGCCAGGCTGAGCCCGAGGGTGGAGGGGTTGAGCACGTCATGAGTCTGGAGTCCCTTCGCCCCCCCCCCCAAGAGATCTTAAGTCCAGCCCACCTCGGATTCCATCGACTCTTATGACCCTTTAGTAGATCAGATTCTTGTAGGGAACATCAGCATGCAATATATTTTGTATTTGTCTGAACAGCCTGACCAGAACGGTTCCTAATGGAAACGAGTTTGGAACAAGACAGTCCCAGCACTCTGAGCTTCTTTCATCTTTTTAGCCTTTGCAACCTTATTCATGCTTCAGTTGCAACATACGAGCGATCCCCGGCTTACAACCGTTTGTTTAGTGACTGTTCAAAGTTACAACGGCACTGAAAAGAGTGACTCACGACCACTTTTCACACTTAATGACCGTTGCAGCATCTCCTAAGGTCATTTAATTCAATTTTAAAACAAACTATTTATTTATTATCGTGGTTTTTAGTATCGCCTGTTCACCGCCCTGAGTCCCGCAAGGGAGATAGAGCGGTATATAAATTTAATAAATAAATAAATAAATAAATAAACATGATTAAAATTCAGACCCTCGGCCACTGACTCGTCTTTATGATGGTAGCTGTGTCCCGGGATCCCCGTTTGCAACCTTCTGATAAAGCGAAATCAATGGGGGAGCCAGATTCACTTAACAACCCTGGGGTAGGCAACCTTGGCTCTTTTATGACTGGTGGACTTCAACTCCCAGAATTCCTGAGCCAGCATGGGGGAACTATGGCCCCCTCATGACTCGTGGACTTCAGCTCCCAGAATTCCTGAGCCAGCATGGCTCAGCTTGGAAACCTCTCCCTTTCCCCTCAGCATGGCTGGCTCAGGAATTCTGGGAGTTGAAGTCCACGAGTCATGAAGGGGCCAAAGTTTCCCTCAGGCTGGCTCAGGAATTCTGGGAGTTGAAGTCCACGAGTCATCAAAGAGCCAAGGTTGCCTACCCCTGTACTAACTTAATAACTGCAGGGATTTACTTAACAATGGTGGCAAGAAAGGTCATAAAATGGGGTAAAACTCAATTGGGCTCCATTGTGGTCATACGTTGAGGACTGTGTGTACTAAAAATCCAGAAAAGGCTCTCTCTGTCTCTCTGTCTCTCTTTCCCTCTCTGTCTCTCTCACACACACACACACAATACACCCCCACACACTCCATTTGTAGCTAAAAGAACCCTGAGTGCCCTTGATAGCCCATTTGGTGTCAGCAACAGACCTTGAGGGAGAGCCATAACTCACTGTAGCTGTTCTGCTGGCCCTCCTGCTTTTGAACTTGGCCTGTTCCTCCCGGTTTCAGTTTTGGACAGGGCCTGGCTCTTCCTGCCTCTTTGTTCTCTGGGTGGCGAAAGAAGGAAAGAGAGAGAGAGAGAGAGGGAGAGAGAGAGAGAGAGAGAGAGAGAGAGAGAGAGAAAGAAACAAACAAACAAACAAACAAACAAACAAACAAAAAAAGAGAGAAAGAGACAGAGAAAGAAAGAGAAATAAAGAAATAGAAAGGGAGAAACAAAAAAAGAGAAAGAAAAAGAGAAATAAAAAGAGAGAGAAAAAGACAGAAAGAAAAAAGAAAGAAAAAAAACAAGGGAGAGAGAGAAAGAGACAGAAAGATAAGAAAGGAAAGAAAGAAAGAAAGAAAGAAAGAGAAAGAGGGAAAGAAAAAGAGACAGGAAGAAAGAAAACGAGAAAGAAAGAAAGAAAAAAGAAAGAGACAAAGAGGGAGAGAAAGAGAGACAGAAAGAGACAGAGAAAGAGAGAGAGAGAACATTCCTTGGAATAATTCAATAGTCAAACCAAATCTGAGATTCCCTGTAGCCTTTTCTAGATTTTTAGTACAGGTTGTCCTTGACTTATGACCACAACTGAGCCCAACATTTCCATTGTTGTGGTTTCCCGTGTGTTCTCAAGGACTCTCTGAAAGGAGGCAAAGGACCAGCTGTCTGCAAGGAGTATAAATCCTTCCCTTCCCCACCATGCGGTCAGAACCTGAAGAAGCTTCTGGATGAGAAGTGAAACCTCTTTAAGGAAATGCCTGTGGAGATTCTCAGCCATCCAGGTCCTGGTTGTCCCAAAGGTGCTTTTTCAGGAGGCAACTGGACTTTCTTGTGTTTCTTTGAAGACGTTTCGCTTCTCATCCTAGAAGCTTCCTCAGGTTCTGACTGGATGGTGGGGAAATGGAAGGATTTATACTCCTTGCAGACAGCTGGTCCTTTGCCTTCTTTCAGAGGGTTGTTGGGGCCATTTGGACACAGATAAACCTCCAGATGGCCTTAATGACTCTCCAAAAGAATGCAAATGACCAGCTGTCTGCAAGGAGTATAAATCCTTCCCTTTCCCACCATCCAGTCAGAACCTGAGGAAGCTTCTGGGATGAGAAGCGAAACGTCTTCAAAGGAAAAACAAAGAAAGTCCTGTTGCCTCCTGGAAAAGAAGCACGTTTGGGCCAACTGGACTTTCTTGGTGTTTTCCTTGAAGACGTTTCGCCTCTCATCCAGGAAGCTTCTTCAGTTCTACCTTCGAGCTTCTTGGGCGAGAAGCAAAACGTCTTCGAGGAATCAAACCGAAGAAAGTCCAGGTGCCTTTTGGGAAAGCATCTTTGGGACCAGCGGCCAGATTCCTAGATCTCTTGGATCCTGCTGACGTCTGTTCCTCTGTCCGTAGATTCATGGAATCCGAGCTGGATCTCAACGACATCATTCAAGAGATGCACGTCGTCGCCACCATGCCGGACCTCTACCATCTCCTGGTGGAACTCAACGCCGTCCATTCCCTCCTTGGGCTGCTGGGGCACGACAACACCGATATCCTTCCGGCTTCATTTGTGTCACTCTTGCGTTCCTTGGGGCTTGGCAACTGGAAGAACATCTTGGGCTGAGTGGGGTGTGAACCTGGGGTGTGACATCTGTCTCCAAAGGATGCTCCAGAGCGGGGGTCTCCAAACCTGGCCCTTTTATGACTGGTGGACTTCAACTCCCAGAATTCCTCAGCCAGGCACGCTGGCTGGGGAATTCTGGGAGTTGAAGTCCACCAGTCTTAAAATAGCCAAAGTTGGACAGGTTGAAGCCCCCAAGTTGTAAAGATGCCAAGGTTAGACACCCTTAGCCTATACCAGGGGGTCTTCAAACTTGGCCCTTTTATGACCTGTGGACTTCAACTCCCAGAATTCCTCAGTCAGCATGCCTGGCTAAGGAATTCTGGGAGTTGATCCAGAAGTCATAAAAGGGCCAGGTTTGAAGACCCCTGCCTTATACTATTCTGGACAAATGGCTGTCCAGCCTCTTCTTGATAACCTGCAGTGATGCAGCATCCACAACTTCTGGAGGCAGATCCTTCTATTGGTTAATTGTTTTCACTGTCGGGAAATTTCTCCTTCTCTATGTTGCTTTCCTTGAGTAACAGAATCACAGCGTTAGAAGGGGCCTTGGAGGTCTTCTAGTCCAGCCCCCTGCTCAAGCAGGAGACCCTCTAACATTTTAGCCAAATGACTGTCCAGTCTCTTCTTGAAAAACCTCCAGTGTTGGAGCACCCACAACTTCTGGAGGCAAGTTGTTCCCCTGGTTAATTGTCCTCACTGTCATGAAATTTCTCCTTAGTTCTAGATTGGTTCGGTAAATGTAATGAAATGTGACAACAGATGAATGGAACAGCATGCTGGCTGGGGAATTCTGGGAGTTGAAACCCACAAGTCTTAAAGTTGCTCAAGTTTGGACACCCCTGCTCGATCGGGCCAGATTTTTTTTTTCCTGGCCCTTATTCCCCAGAGCTTATCAAGGCAGACTCTCTCTGCCATGTTAGCGGGCAGCTGGGAGTTTTTTCTGTCTGTTATCTTGAGTTAAACTGCAGTTGCGATGGAAAAAAGTGAAAAGGCTGTGTGAAAATTGCCTGCAGCTCTTCCGTGGACATTTAACAAATCTATCAAACGGTGGGATGTCAGCCTGTTGCCTTTCCTAGTTACTGATAAGCAACAGTTGAAAAAGAAAACCTCTTTAGAAATGTTATGTTGGCCAGGAAGGAAGGAAGGCAGGCTAGATGAGAAGGCAGAGTTAAAAAACAAAACAAAAAAAGATTTAAGAACAAGGTCTCAAATGTTCTTTGAGAACAAAGAAAAAGGATTTTTTTTTTCCTTCCGTTTGGCTTCTTTGCTACATGATGTCCCAAAGGTGCTTTTCTTCTGACAGCAATTGGACTTTAGCTGATTTTTCTTGAAGACATTTCACTGCTCATCCGAGAAGCTCCTTCCATTCTAAGCAACATCTTCAAGAAAAATCAATAAAGTCCAGTTGCTGTTTGGACAAAAGCACCTTTGGGACAATCATGACCTGGATGACGGAGAATCTCCATCGAACATGCTACACGGTGGATGTTTTTGCTACGCTGAGCAGTGCGCGCTCACTTACATTTGTGAAAATGCCTGTGCGTGCTGTCGACACTCATTCCATTTGAGGCAGTCAAGCTAGGAGCAGCTGGCAAACAAACGTAGGTTACTCCGCTCTGTTGCGTCCCCCACAGCTACCTCTGGGTGCGAAAGTGGGACCGTGAGAAAGCAAGACGGGAAGAACGTGGATTCGTTTGAGGTGCGGTGCTGGAGAAGGTGCCTGCGTATTCCTCGGATAGCAAAAGGGACTAACAAGCAAGTCCCGGACTGCATAACACCAGATGTGTCACTGGAAGGCAAAACCACGAAACTGCATCTCACTTACTCAGGCCACGCCAGGCGGGGGAATTTACTGTAGAAAACAATTCCTGTTTGGAAGACTCGGCGTTTATTTGGCTGTGCCAGCAACTGTCGATTGTGATACCTTCCTTGGCTACTGTGCATTTTAATTTGTATGTTGAATGGAATGGAATGGAATGGAATGGAATGGAATGGAATAGAATAGAATAGAACCTTGGAGGTCTTCTAGTCCAGCCCTCTCCTCAAGCAGGAGAACTTACAGGATTTCAAACAAGTGATTCTTCGATCTCTTCTTAAAAACCTCCAGTGATGGAGCCCCACAACTTGTGGTGGCAAGCAGTTCCACTGGTTAATTGTCCTCACTGTCAGGAAGTTTCTCCTTAATTCCAGGTTGCTGCTCTCTTTGATCGGTTTCCATCTGTTGCTTCTTGTCTGGTGCTTTGGAGAATAATTTGACCCCCTCTTCCTTGTGGCAGCCCCTCAAATACTGGAATGCTGCTATCAGGGGGTCACGTTATTCTCCAAAGCACCAGAGGGAAGGATGAGAAACAATGGTTGGAAACTGAACAAAGAGAGAAGCAACCTGGAATTAAGGAGAAACTTCCTGACGGTGAGGACAACTAGCCAGTGGAACAGCTTGCCACCAGAAGTCATGGGCGCTCCATCACTGGAGGTTTTTAAGAAGAGATTAGACAGTCACTTGTCTGAGACGGTATAGGTCAGGGATAGGCAACCTGGGCTCTTTTATGACTCATGGACTTCAACTCCCAGAATTCCTGAGCCAGCCATGCTGAGGGGAAAGGGAGACGTTTCCAAGCTGAGCCAGGCTGGCTGAGGAATTCTGGGAGTTGAAGTCCACCAGTCATGAGGGGCCATAGTTCCCCCATGCTGGCTGAGGAATTCTGGGAGTTGAAGTCCATGAGTCATGAGGGGGCCATAGTTCCCCCATGCTGGCTCAGGAATT